CCCTTGTAATAGTCATTTCTGCCCTAGGAAAAAGTCTCTGACTATCCACTCTATTTATTTATGCCTCTCGTCATCTTGTACACCTCTATCAAGTCACCTCTCATCCTTCTTCGCTCCAATGAAAAAAGCCCTAGCTCCCTCAACCTTTCCTCAAGATCTGCCCTCCAGTCCAGGCAGCATCCTGGTAAATTTCCTCTGCACCCTCTCTAAGGCTTCCACATCTTTCCTATGATGAAGTGACCAGAACTGAACACTATATCCCAAGTGTGGTCTAACCAGAGTTTTATTGACCTGCAGCATAACCTCACGGCTCTTAAACTCAATTCCCCTGCCAATGAAAGCCAACACACCATACGGCTTCTTTACAACCCTATCAACTTGGTTAGCAGCTATGGACATGGACCCCGAGATCCCTCTGTTCCGCCACACTGCCAGGAATCTTGCCATTAACCCTGTATTCTGCATTCAAATTCAACCTTCCAAAATGAATCACTCCACACTTTTCTGGGTTGAACTCCATCTGCCACTTCTTTGCCCGGCTGTGCATCCTGTCAATGTCCCGTTGCAACCTACAACAGCCCTCCGCTGTCCACAACTCCTCCAACTTTCGTGTCATCGGCAAACTTACTATCCCACCCTTCCACTTCCTCATCCAAGTCGTTTATAAAGATCACAAAGAGCAGAGGTCCCAGAACAGATCCCTGCAGAACACCACTGTTCACCAATCTTCAGGCTGAATACTTTCCATCAATTACCACCCTCTGTCTTCTATTGGACAGGCAGTTTTGTATCCAGATAGCCAAATTTCCCTGAATCCCATGCCTCGTTACTTTCTGAATGAGCCTACCATGTGGAACCTTATCAAATGCCTTGCTAAAATCCATATACACCACATCCACTGCTCTACCTTCATCGAAGTGTTTTGTCACATCCTCAAACAATTCAATTAGGCTTGTGAGGCATGACTTGCCCCTCACAAAGCCATGCTGACTATTTCTAATCAAACTGTGCTTTTCCAAATAATCATAAAAACTATCTCTCAGAATCCTCTCCAATAATTTGCCCACCACAGAAGTAAGACTGACTGGTCTGTAATTTCCAGGATTATCCCTATTCCCTTTCTTGAACAAGGGAATGATACTTGCCACCCTCCAATCTTCTGGACAGCGAGGACGCAAAGATCATCGCCAAAGGGGTAGCAATGTCTTCCCGTAGTAACCTTGGGTATATCCCGTCTGGCACCACTTATCTATCCTCATGTTTTTCAAAATTTCTAGCATATCCTCCTTCCTAACATCAACCTGTTTGAGCAAATCTGCCTGTTTCCTGCTGTCCTCACAAACGTCAAGGTCCCTCTCACTGGTGAATACTGAAGCAAAGTATTCATTAAGGACCTCCCCTACCACCTCTGACTTTGCGCACAAGTTCCCTCCACTATTCCTGATTGGCCCTACCCTCACTGTGGCCATCCTCTTGTTCCTCACATAAGCATAGAACGCCTTGGGGTTTTCCTTGATCCTACCAGCCAAGGTTTTCTCATATCCACTTCTAGCTCTCCTAAGTCCATTCTTCAGTTCCTTTCTGGCTACCTTCTAGATCTCTAGAGCCCTGTCCGATCCTTGCTTCCTCAACCTTAAGTATGCTTCCTCCTTCCTCTTGACTAGGTGTGCCACATGTCTTGTCATCCAGGGTTCCTTCACCTTACCATCCTTTCCTTGCCTCAGTGGGACAAACCTATCCAGTACTTGTCGCAACTGCTCCCTAAACAACCTCCACATTTCTGTCATGCATTTCCTTGAGAACATCTGATCCCAATTAGTGCTCCATAGTTCTTGCCTAATAGCATTTGTAATTCCCCTCCTCGAATTAAATACTTTCCCGTACTGTCTGCTCCTATCCCTCTCCATGACTATAGTAAAGGTCAGAGTTGTGATCACTATCACCAAAATGCTCTCCCACAGAGAGATCTGACACCTGACCTGGTTCGTTGCCAAGCACCAAATCCTATATGGCCTCACCTCTAGTCGGCCTATCTACATAGCGAGTCAGAAATCCTTCCTGGACACACCTGACAAAATCTGCTCCATCCAGACTTTTGCAAGTAGGAGGTTCCAGTCTATATTAGGGAAGTTGAAGTCACCCGTGACAACAACCCTATTACTTCTGTACCTTTTCCAAAATTTGTCTCCCAATCTTTTCCTTGGTGTTGCTATTGGGGGGTCTATAGAAAACTCCCAATAAAGGCTGACTGCTCCTTTCCTGTTTCTGACTTGCACCCATACTGACTCAGTGGAGAAACCCTCCTGCACTACCTCTCTTACTGTTACTCACCAACAACAGTTTCCAGGAACAGTTTAGGCTTGTGCCCATTTACCCACTGGAACTCTCACTGCCGACCTTCCTCATGATATTCTGTCTCCTCTGAACCTTGCCTCTTTTTTGGTTAGAGGAAAGAGGAGGGATGGAAACACTACAGTAATGTAATGTCTGGGGCTAACCGTTCCTTAACAGCAGGTTCTTCCATGATACCCTTCACGTTCATGTTAACTGTGAAGTCTGCTTCCAGAATGCAGCATATTTTTGATCAGTAGGAGAATTAAGAGTTATGGGGAAAATGTAGGAAAAGTGGACATACGGAATGTTAGATCAGCCATGATCCTGTTGAATGGTGGAACAGGCTGGAGAAGCCAAAAGATCTACTTCTGTTCAAATTCCTATGGCCGTATGGCCTTTTACAAGCAAAACTTTGAAATTCTGTCCTATAATCCCGAGCTACAGGTCATTAATATATATCAACAAGAGCAGTGGCCATAATACAAATCCTTGGGAAACACCTCTCTCTATATGCTTGCAGTGTAGGGGGATAAAAGCTTCACCGTTCTGTTTTCTGTCATTTTAAACAATTTAGTAACCACGCTGTGCTGTCCCTTTTAAATGTATAACTTTTGAAAGTGGAACAGAGGCTTTTGTTTATCAAGTTAAGCTGACCAAATAAATTTGTTTTCTCTTAATTGTGCATGAATTTTTTTAAAACAAATATTCAATTGCTACCAATTTGACATCCTGATACTGGTAATCAGTAATAGTAATCAGTGGAAATAGCTAAAACTCCTCTTTTGGTAATATAAGCCGATTTGAGACTGGCTGACTTTCTTGTTGATTAATCAAGTTCTGTGGCACTTATTTGGATAGAGGAAGAAATGCCTCGTGCATCTGGTGTGTGTGGGCTGTGACCGAGAAAAGTTACAGCTATTTTTATATTGAGACTGTTTGGATCACAATTGATTTCACACAAATAATTGTAACCAGAAGAAAAAGCAGGGTTAAAAATAAAATGACTCTTAGAATTCTCCAAACAGCAGCTCTAGAAGATTTTAACTTCTGGATTTCAGCTGACTGCAGGAAGCATGTGTTGCGGATGTTCATTCTCACTTGGTAGAGTCAGTAGAAAACCAGCTTACGGTTAGTCACCTGTAGTTGTTTGTATTATATGTATTTTGTCAATTGCTTATGTTCTTTCAGCAGTAAAACCAAAACCAACAATATGCATGTTTTAAAAATTATTCATGTGATGTGGGCATCTGGGGATAGAACAGCATTTATTGCCCACCCCTAGTTGCCCATGAGACAGTTGTAGTGAACTGCTACTGTACATTTGGTGTAGATAGACCCACAATGCATTAGGAAGAGAGTTCCAGGATTTTGCCCCAGTGACACAGTGGTATGTTTTCAAGTAAGAATCGAGAATGGCTTGGAAAAGAACTTGCAGGTGGTAGTGTTCCTATGTCTGCTGCCCCTATTCTTTTAGATGGTAGTGGTTTAGTGGTTTTAGGTTTGGAAGGTGCTTTCTGAGGAACATGGGTGAATTTTTGCAGTGCATCTTGTCGAAGGTGCACAATGTTACTACCAAGCAATGGAGGGAGAGAATGTCTGTGGCTGTCGTGCCAGTCCAGCATGGTGTCAACTCCTTGGGTATTTTTGGAGCTGCACCCATCTAGACAAGTGGAAAGTGATGCTTCTCAATCCTGATTTGCACCTTGTAGATAGAGGATAAGCTTTGGGGAGTCAGAAGGTGAGTCACTCGCCGGATTGACCTGCTTTCAAAGCCACAATGTTTATAGTTAGTCCAGCTCACTTTCTGGTCAGTGGTAACCCCCAGAATATTGATAGTGGAGGATTTAGTGACCAGAAGCCATTCAATGTTGCTGGCACGTGTGCAGTACAAATGTTATTTGCCAGTTGTCAGCCCAAACCAGGGTATTCTCCAGATCTTGCTGCATTTGGACATGTTTCAGTATCTGAGGAGTCATGAAGAGTGCTGAACATTGTTCCATTATCAGTGAGCAATTTTCCACATTCAGGTAACTGCCAGTATTGTAGCTGTACTGGGAAAGCTTGTCTAGGTGTGTGGCAAGTGCTAGGACGCGCTGCTTCAGCACGATTGTCAAAATGTTGTCAGAACCAATATATATTACAGTATGCAGTGCCTCCAATCATTTCTTGGTACCATGTGGAGTGAATTGAGTTGGCTGGGGACTGGCATGTGTGATGTTGGGAACCTCTCGTCAGTCTCCAAATTGCTTTAGATTACAAATAGGGGAGTTTTGGCTATTTCCCCTGATTTTTATTACTGATTACTCTTGTAAGGATGTCAAATTAGTAGCAATTGAATATTTGTTTTTCAAGAAAATCATGCTGGAATCTTCCAGTAGGCTCAATTTTCTCTTCCCTCTTGTCCGCTATCCCAATTGTTTTATCACATTTAAAAGGCCATTTGCATAGTTAACAAATTTGAGAGATCTAAGGGTTAAGCCAAATTTAATTCACATCAGTCCTTTGAGTAAGTTGGTTTACATAACTGTAAAATTAATTAAAATTAGCAATGAATAACAATTATACTGTGCTTAGCAGTAGTACCAGACAAATGTGTTGCTATGATGTATTTTCTTGGTTCCTCTTCATGTGAAATATCATGGAAACCTGAAATATTTTTCTTACAGACTGTCCGAGGAATGCTGGATCATCCCACTGAGGCCGTCAATGATTTGTCTTACTTTGATTGCATTGACAGTGTAATGGAAAATTCCAAGGTATGTATGTGGATACTTTAGAAAAGTCAATTGTTCTTTGATGAGCACACATTAGTTACTGACCAGATCAGTTTTACCAAATTGTTTGACAATTGTTTTAGTTAACTCTGGAATACATGCTCATGGATATATTAGTAACAAAAAAGTATTTTTTTCCTTATTACTGGCACTTTATGTTAACTCTTACTGCATGATTCAAATTCTCTAAGATTAACTGAGTATACTTTTAGAAATTTGGTACTGTAGAACATAAGTGCTGGAAAAATATACTTTTGTTGAAACCTTTCATCTTTCACTTAGCAGGGCAATTTGCAAGAAATACCAATGTAAAGGCAAAATAAAGTTAATACTGTATGAGAAGAGAGTACTAATTGGTAGACAAGTGGACTGTGATTAGTAGAGGTATTACTAATAGGGAATGTATCAGATAGGCAATGACTGACAATTAACTGCTAAAATTTGTTTATATTTTAAACTCATCAGGTTAACTCAGATTGTTCAAGATATTTCCCTGTGAAGTAAACAAGAAAACAACTGTCAGTTATTTTGTTGAGTTGAAACAAATCCAGTATGTGTACGTGTTTTTCCTGTGTGCTACAACAGGATACTTGGTATTAATATATGTAGCTTCTTGAACACACAGATGCACCATCACAGTGAGAGTCCGACTGGCAATCCTAAATTGGTGTCAGGCACTTTTTTTACACATTAAAATGCTATCACTTGTAGGCATTGTTCAGTTTTGCAAGCATGTGCTGGTTAGACACAGCATGCTACTTGTTGCAAGCAAATGAAAGGAAATGCTGTTGATACAATCCACCAGCACTGAAATTCATGTACCACATGGTTCATAGAATTATACAGTGCAGAAGAGGCCATTTAGCCCATCAGGTCTGTGCTGCCAAATGTTTGGTAGTCTTAATATCTTTTTGACTTGAAGGCAGCATCATGTTCGTGGTGAGCAATCATATCACTACTGCAGAGCAGCAGCATGAAGCAGGTGGCTTTACCTGTAGCTCAAGCCTTTCTTGCAAATTATCCTGATGAGTACAAAATGAAAAGCTTCAACAAAATGCCTTTTTCTTTTCAGCAAATCATAAGCATATTTTACCCAAATTTTGTAGATGTTCTCGCTACACATCCTAGTATTTCAGGGAACCTGAAGTCCCCTTGTTTTAGTGTATTTGTTTATATAAACAAGACTATACAAGAAGTAGGTAGATGGAGAATTGCATGGGACCAGGTGAGCTACTTTTGAGCCTGCTCTGTCATTTTCTAAACCATTGGCAGCCCACATTAATCCCAAGTTACCTCCCACACTTCACATTCCTTCAGGCATAAGTAATCATAATCTTTTAAACACATGATTTCATCACATCTGTGGGCTACAAAACAATGCATTTCATGTTCGTGCTAAGTGATTTTTCATGAATTTGCTTAAAAGGCTTATTCCAACTTCAAGAAGAAAATCTTCTGTCCTGTATTCTCCTGCATTCTTTGTCATTTTTACCCTTCGTTTCTAAGGTCTAAACGAAACCACCTTGCTCTCTAAAGAATGCAGCTTCCTTATCAAAGGCATTTTATATCTTGAAAATAAGTCAAAAGACTTCAGAATCTTTTGAAAGTGCAGTCACTGTTAAATGCCAGCCAAATGCAGCAAGACTCTCAGACAAGAAATTAGGTAAATAACTGGTGACAATAATAAAGAATGTTGGCCAGGACACTTAAGTAACACTTGGCACCTCTTTGGTCTATACCATGAGATCTTGACCAGCTAAACAAGAAAATAGAGCCTCCATTTCTTCTCAATCCAATGAAGAAAATTCTCTTGCTACACTTACCTTCCTTGTGAGTTATTAGCATATTCCTCTTAAATTCCCTCACTCCAACTGGAAGGGCTACTCCAAAAAAAAATCCAACTAAACTTTGTGTCTTTAAGGTATATCTTCCTTGTTGTTCCCATCATTGCCTGAAGGAATTTAAGAAAGATTAACTTCACAACAGTTTCACTTAATTTCCAAATTGTGTACAATGGAAAGGCAAAAGTTTTGATCGTGTCCATTTTGGTATTGAGAGAAAGAACTGATCTTCGATCGGGTGCTTTTCACTTTAATTCTCCTTCTGAAATGGAACCGTTTTAACATATTTTCCATTTATGTATCAACTGTGGGTGAGTGCTTACAAAGTCACCTCTGAGTCACAGGGTTCTGGATTTAAGCTCCACTTCAGGACTTGAACACAGAAATCAAGGTTGATGATATATATGGAGGGATCAGTACGCTGCCATAGGTGCTAATTTTAGAATGAGATGTTAAACTAAGGCTCTATTTATCCATACAGTTAAATGTGAAACATCCCATAATACTACTTTGAAGAGTAAGGGAGTGCTCTGGTCAATGTTGACTGCCTCCAAGCAACATTAAAAAATTGGATTATGTGATCAATGTGAAAGTTAGGCTGTTTGTTCTGTGCAAATTAGTGGCTATGTTTCTTGCATTATAACAGTGACTTCGGTTTATTAATTCTTCTCTGGCTACAAAGTGTTTTGGGACATCTGGTGGTCATGAAAAGCACTACATAAATGCAAGTTGTTTTCAAATTTTCTAGGTTCTGGGAGAGGCAATGACTGGAATCTCTCACAATGCCAAGAACAGTGATCTACCAGCATTTGGCGATTCAGTAAGCACTGGTTCCAAAGCTTTGTGTGGACTTACAGAAGCAGCTGCTCAGGTAAATATATGCGGAAATGATGTATGAGTTGCATGTAAAGAACTGCTTGGAGGTTATTGGGGGCAGTGTTCAGTATGGTCTTTTAAATGTATAAGTTGCATCTATATGAAATTCATAACTTTACAACCATAGATTACTGCACAGAAGTTGATTATTTAGCATATTATAATCTGTGACAACTATTTGTCGAGCAATGCACAACTGCTGATGCTGTCCTGTGCACATTCATGTCTGTCATGCTCTGCTTCTCGTTGATATCCCTTTACAAATTAAACTAGATGGAATATTCACTTTTTCAGTTACTTTGTAGTGAAATATTCCTGTTTCAGCAACTTTACAGAAATGTTACTTTGCCGTACTCTTCATCTTGTGATGATCTTAATTTTAATTGACGGCTCCCCATCTCTGACTTCTCAACCAAGTACAATAGCCTAGTAAAACTCTTCATGATTTTTAAAATCTTTTATTAAATCTTAGTTCTCTATTCTTTAGGGGACATAACCCCAATATCCTGTATCGCCTCAGTTTTCTTTTAGTGAGTTTAAATTGTACCTGCTACATAGCTTTAATGTTCTGCCTGCTATGTACACTACACCAGTTTTTTACACTTTTTTTTTAATGCATATACCTTATGTAAATTCAAACTTCTATTGGCCTTTTTATGGCCATCTGTGTGTAGTTCTGATTATCAAGACCCTTCAGTAGATTTCCTGCAAATGTAAACGTGTGTTCTTTATGGCTTTTAAAAATCTATTAACACTCAATTATTTAACTGAATTGTGTCAAACACATTTTTACTTATTCCAATAATCTGTCTGTCATCCCAAGTCTTTTAAATTATTTTTCACTGTTTAGAAATCTACCTAAATTTGTAGTATTAACAAATTTAAGAATTATGCTCCTTTATACCCGAGTCTAAATCATCAGGATGCATCAATTAGGTAAACTATTCACTTGATCAAATACAGCTTACTATCATTTTTGACTGTCCTTAATGAAATGCATTTCTGAAGGAATATTACATTTTTCTGAATTTTATATTCGGAGAATAGCTACAACACAGGCAGAGTCATTCTGCCTATTACATTCTGGGTCCCTGCAAGAGAAACGTGATTTTCTCACTGTCGACGTGATATTAGTCGCCTCAATTTCTCTGCACCCCCCCTTCCACCCCCTCACCAAATCCAACCTGTCTCCCTCTGAACTGACTACACTCCATGCACTTAGATCTAACCCTGACTTTGTTATTAAGCCTGCCGATAAGGGTGGTGCTGTTGTAGTCTGGTGTAATGACCTCTACATTGCAGAGGCTGAACACCAGCTCTCAGATACCTCCTCCTATCTTCCCCTGGACCGTGACCCCATCATGACATATCAGGCCATTGTATCTTCTACAGTAACTGATCTCCTTTCATCTGGTGACCGCTCCCCTACCCCTCACCCCCCCCCACCCACTGTTTCCAAGCTGGTAGTCGCACAGCTCGCTTGTACCTCCTTCCAAAAATCCACAAACAGGACTGTTCGGGCAAAACCATTGTTTCAACCTGCTCCTGGCTCTCGGAACTCATCTCTTCCTACCTTGACAGTCTTCTCTCCCCTGGTCCAATCCCTGCCCACATACATCCATGATTCCTCTGGTGCTTTATGCCAGATTCAAAACTTCCAGTTTGCAGGTTCCAGCCGCCTCCTCTTTACCATGGGCATGCAGTCCCTTTACCAGGAGGGTCTCGGGGCTCTCTGCTTTTTCTGAGAGCACAGACCTGAACTGTCGCCATCCAGCACCATCCTCCTCCGCTTGGCCGAGCTCACGCTCACCCTCCCCCTCAACAGCTTCTCTTTTAACTCCTATCATTTTCTTCAGGTCAGAGGGGTGGCCGTGGGTACCTGCATGGGCCCCCCTTCTTCGTGGGTTACGTGAAACATTCCTTGTTCCAGTCCTATTCTAGCCCCCACCCATAACTCTTCCTCCGATATATCGATGATATCATTGGTATCTGGTACTGCTTACCTCTCTCATCCAGAATTGGAAAAGCTCATCGATTTCGCTACCGATTTCCACCCTGCCCTCACTTTCACCTGATCTATTTCTGACTTCTCCCTTCCCTTCCTCAACATCTGTTTCCATTTCTGGGTATAGTCTGGCCACTAATATCTATTACAAACCCACTGACTCCCACAGCTACCTGAACTGTACATCCTCACACCCTGCTTCCTATAAAGACTCTATCCCATTCTCTCAGTTCCTCCGTCTCCGTCACATATGCTCGGATGTGGCTAACTTCGACAAGGGAGCCTCTGAACTGTCCATTTTCTTCTTCAACCGAGGATTCTCCAGCACTGTTGTCGACAGGGCCCTCAACTGGGTCTGACCCATCTCCCGCACCTCCGCCTTCATCCCCTCTCTTCCCTCACTTGTCCACCTTCCGCAGGGACTGTTCCCTCCGGGGCACCCTGGTCACTCTTCCTTCACCACCAACATCCCCCACAGTCTCATGGCACCAGCACCTTCACCTGCCACCTACTTCCTCCCTCCCCACTATACAAGGGCCCAAACATCCCTTCCAGGCGAAGCAACACTTTACCTGCCCTTGCCAGAATCAAGTCTACTGCATTTCATAGAATCCCTACAGTGTGGAAACAGGCCATTCGGCCCAACAAATCCACACCACCTCTCTGAAGAGCATCCCACCCTTACTCATTCCCCTACCCCTGCATTTCCCCATGTCTAACCCAAACATCCCTGGACACTACCGGCAATTTCACATGGCCAATCCACCTAGCCTGCACATCTTTGGACTGTGGGCAGAAACCGGAGCACCAGGAGGAAACCCATGCAGACACGGGGTGAATGTGCAAACTCCACCCCGTGAATTGAACCTGGGTCCCTGGTGCTGTGAGGCAGCAGTGCTAACCACTGAGCCACCGTGCCGCCCTATTTGCTGCTCACAATGTGGTCTCCTCTACACTGGGGAATTGAAGCGTAGACTGACTGCTTCGCAGAACATCTACGTTCTGCTCATAAAAAAAGACCCTGATCTTTCGGTTGCCTGCCACTTCAACACACCACCCAGTTGCCTGGCCAACATCTCTGTTTCAGGCTTGCTGCAGTGTTTCAGCAAAGCTCAACGCAAGCTGGAAGAACAACATCTCACTTTCCACTTGGGGACCCTGCAGCCCTCTGGACTCAATATCGAGTTCAGTAATTTTGGGGCCTAAACTCTTCCATGTTCTAGCCCTTAACACCACACACCAGGCCTTGTTATCTCACAACCTGCCATTACACGCTACCTATTGTTAGTCACTAACAGTCCCCATTCACAACTATTTACCCTCCTAGCCAGATCGTTATCAACCCCTTTGTCTATCTAACTGCTCTTCTCTCTCTTCAGGCTGTGTCCCATCGTTTACTCCCTACCCCGTCCCCCTCCCCCTCCCTATTTTCTGCATATAAATCAACATTTTCCCAGCTGCCTTCAGTTCTGAGGAAGGGTGACCGAACTGAAACATTAAAGCTGATTTTCGTACTTCACAGATGCTGCCAGACCTGTTGAACTTTTCCAACAACTTCTGTTTTTGTTCTTTGATTTACAGCATCCACAGTTCTTTCGGTTTTGATGATTTTCTCACTCTCTCCAGCTTCCCTCTTCCCCCACCCCCCACCCTCCTCCATGGCCCTGCATTTTTCTGACCTAAATGTGGCAACCTTAATACATTTTCTTCATCTGAATAAGTAACTAATCTAGTGCAGTGACAAATAATGTCAATTCAACTAGGAGCTTTACATTAAGGATTGTCATTTCAAGAGTAGAATAATGGCAGTATTCTTAACATTCAACTTAATTCAAACTGAAATATTTGCAAATGAAAGTAGGTGAAAGCCTTAAATATATACCATATATTTAAAGCAGAATTAATTTTTAAAAATCTTTAACCTCTTAGCTAGTAGCCATTGTCATCTAGGCATCAGCTATGTGTTTATTTACTTGATACCATTATCCTTTGTACTGAGTGATTCACAGATACTGGAAAATGAATTGTTGCATTGACCAGAAGTATGAACAGAAAATTTGTACTTCAGATCATTTCGTTGATTAACTAAGCTAAAGGTCCCTGTACCCTTCCTTTTACTTTGCCAATTTTGTTTAGCACAAGCATTACCATGTTGTATTGCCATGTGACATTCCTGCAGGATGTGAACATTTAGCCAGTCTGATAAAAGGGAACTGAAATTTGATTGTTCACTTTTTATAACTGCAAGATTGAAGATAGCAAGAAACTTACGAGGAGACAGAAATTTGACAATTATATTTGTCTAAATATGACCTCATAACCGTTTCTAAATTTTAACCCCCAGGCAGCATACCTTGTAGGAATCTCCGATCCCAATAGCCATGCAGGTCAGCAAGGATTAGTAGACCCAGCGCAGTTTGCACGAGCTAATCAAGCGATCCAAATGGCTTGTCAGAACCTAGTAGATCCAGCCTGCATTCAGTCACAGGTAATGTCAATTCTTGTTATCCTATTGAAACTTTTATCTCTACAGTAAATTTGCTTTCAAAGCACCATAGATGATTGAGGAAGTTTTGGGCTCACATGTTTTTTCTCAATTTAGGTCTTGTCTGCTGCCACTATTGTTGCAAAACATACTTCTGCCTTGTGCAACGCCTGCCGTCTCGCTTCATCCAAGACGTCCAACCCTGTTGCTAAGAGACAGTTTGTTCAATCAGCGAAGGAGGTGGCGAATAGTACGGCCAACCTCGTGAAAGCAATCAAGGTATCTCCTGGAAAATTCTTCCTCAAAGATGAATATGGTCTTTGTAACAGCTTGTATACTCTTTAGTCAACTAGTGATGAAATGACCACACAAAAGTCACTCTTATTTCTTAGAGTTACTGCTCAGTTAGAATGTGGTGGATTTATTAGAGCTCCATGTTCTGCCCTCGGATTTGCAGAGTCTGATCCATTAGAGACTAATGTAATTGAAAAATTGGTGCATTTTAATACTAAAAAATAACATAGTCTAATCTGTAAAATGAAAGTAACTGCTTATTTTTAATATGGACATAATTTACTACTTTGGACATTTTGCCAAACCTGGAACAATTTAACACCTTTTTTCTTTTTGTGTTAACATAGGCACTGGATGGTACATTCACAGAAGAAAACCGTGAGAATTGCCGAGCTGCAACAGTTCCTCTAATTGAAGCAGTGGAGAATCTGACAGCATTTGCTTCCAACCCAGAGTTTGTCAGTGTTCCAGCTCAGATTAGTCCTGAGGTACATTATCAACAAAACTAGTTCCATCTTGTATAAAAAGAAATTCGATGACTCACATGGAAATCAAGTGTCTTCATCTGTAATTATAAGAATGCGCAAATCTTCAAGTCGATCCTGTAACCATTGGCCAAAAATGCTAGTGTTGATAGATTCTCATGCCACCTCAAATTATGATTTTTCTATCTAATTGGTGCAGGCAACAATAATAATTTAAGTGCTGTGGTAATAGAGACAAAGAATGTAAATGTCAATACCCTGTTTAGTTTTAGATGTATTTATCTCTAATGTAGTATTGAAATGTCTTAATTTTAAGATTCTGAGCAGTCTTGGCAGGATAGGCCCTGAATGATTGTTTTCCCTGCTTGTGAAATCTAGAACATAATGGCACAGTTCAAGGATACCAAGTCATCAATTTAGTATTGAGATAAGAAGTATCTGCACTTGAGTTGTAAATATTTGGAGTTCCCTATTCCAGAGGATTATGGATCCTCCATAATTGTGTAGATTTCTGACTGAGGTAGACAGGTTTTTGGTGTGTTAAGGGATCACAAGATATGGAGAGTAGTAAGAAAGTGAAGTGGAGGTTGAAGATCAGGTATGATTCTTAATGGTGGAGTCAGCGCAAAGTCTTCTACTCCTGTTTCTTACATTCTAATGCGTACTGTTGGGACTCTGGTTTTAAACACTGATAACAGACTGCGCTGAACTGAACTAACCTGTATAAAAACAGAAGTTGCTGGAAAAGCTCAGCAGTATGGCACCATCTTGTGAAGAAAAAAAAATCAGAGTTAATGTTTCGTGTCCAGTGACCCTGAGGAAGCGTGGAGAAGCAAACTACCCTCAATTGTCTTATACACTTGGTCTATAGGCAAAGGCTAGCTAAAGTAGTTGCATAAGCTGGTCAAACGTTTTGCCTAAAATATTAAATAGTGCAGTCAAGCAGATAATTATATGAATCACTGAATAATTTCCAGTAACACACAGACACATACACACAAAAGATGCTGGAGGAAACTCACCAGTTCGGGCAGCGTCTGTGGAGAGAGACGCAAAGTTAACTGTTTGAGCCCAACATGACTCTTCAGATGCTGCCAGAAGTGAGAGTTTCTCCAGCATTTTCTGTCTGTTTCAGCTTTCCAGCATCTCTGTAGTATTTTGCTTTTCAATAACTTCCAGTACTTGCCCACATGAGGGCACCAAATAACTAACTGAACTATTGACTGCTATTTCAGCAAACTATCCATAAAATCTGAATCTTAAGAAACTAATTTCTTAAAGTATGCATGTATTTGTATTTTTGTGGCAGGGACTTAATGCCATGGAGCCCATTGTTGTGGCTGCGAAGACAATGCTGGATAGTTCAACAGGTCTCATTCAGACTGCTCGGTCCCTTGCTGTGAACCCAAAAGACCCACCAAAATGGTCTGTCTTGGCTGGACATTCTCGAACTGTCTCTGACTCTATCAAGAAACTCATTACTTCTATCAGGTACCTCCCTCTGTTTAACAGTTGTTTTCAGGATTTATGTTTAAAAGTAAAGCTTACTTGTATAACAGTATGTTTTCTTCTTTATTCAAAGTTGGCCCTAACAACTACAACTTTAAAAATTATCTGGTGCTGTATTAAGTATTTAGAATATTGATCTGAGATTTTGATTAAATCTAAGTTGCCTAAGCTTTGCTCTTGTGGATTATTGCAAGATGTGGTAATATATTCCCATTGCTGCTTGTTTGGTCATTATTTGGCTTGTTCCATCTACTGACACTCCATTCCTAATTAAGTATGTACTCCTTTAAAGGAGCTGTATGTGCTCTTGTTAAAAATGTTAGTTATTTTGCAGTCTTGGACTATAATAGACACTGTTTTGCTAGGCCTTTTAAGATAAATTAAAGGGATGGTGGACAGTCTATTTATATAAAGAGCACACACTTGCATTAGTTCTTGTGATTTTATTAACCCAACTCTCCCCAGTATTACTAAGACTGCCGTGAGTTGCAATAGTGGGTGTCCCACAGTGTCATTTAATGTAACTCCACAGTCACCAAACTTAAATGAAAAATAGGGCTTTCAATATTTAAAGATATCCCAGGTTTAAGTTTCTCATAAAAACCAAAAGAACTGCGGATGCTGTAAATCAGGAACAAAAACAAAGTTGCTGGAAAAGCTCAGCAAGTCTGGCAGCATCTGTGGAGGAGAAAACAGAGTTAACGTTTCGGGTCCGGTGACCCTTCCTCATGTCTGGCACATCACCTTATGTCAAAAACCTGCTAAAACACAACCAAATGCAGTGGTCTGTTCTATGCTTTGAACTTTGTCTTTGTTTTCTGACACAGTTATACTCTTCAGCCTTGATATTCACATTATCTTTGTGAATGCTCCTATGAAATTCTATTAAAAGATAGAAATGTTTTCACATTAAATTTGAATCCTGAATATGACAATAATGATGTGCTTAGATGAATTTTAATGAATAACAGACTTGTCTCATTTGCATCTATTTTAATTCAGCTGTCTTTAAATATATGCTCTTCCAATTTGACTTGCTATATTCAATTGGACCTTGTTCCAAGCAAAGATATCAAAATACAGCTGCTGCCCTCCATAAACTCCGTAAATATAAACTCCACTCCACATATACTAACTTGCACCAAACTCTGATCACTCATGTTCCCTGTGCTTGCTGACCTGCACTGGCTCCCAGTCCAGGACTGTCTGTTGTAAGATTTTCATCCTGTTACCAATTCATTCCTTGACCTTGCTGCTCTGTCTCTGCTAGCCTACAGTCTCTAAAATCTCTGCTTGTCTCACTTCTGGTCTGTTTTACATCCGGGAGTTTCTTAGCTCTACCAATCAGCTGTTAGAGCCCTAAGCTGTGGAGTTATTTCTATCTGTCCTCTTTTCCCCCCTCTCGTTTAAAATGCTTGTTAGAGTCTACCTCTCTAAATCCATGGTTATCTACTCTAATGTCTCCTTCTGTGGTTAAGTATTGCATTTTAACAGTGCCAGCTACATGAATGTGCCGTAGGTGGTTTGCAACATTAAGAATGCCATATAAATGCATGTAGTTATTTCACCATCCAATTGGTTTCATGGAAAACAAATTGGATTCCTTAAGCTCCCTCTTCTACTTTTTCTATGATTAAGCACTTTCAGTTTAGAAGCCCAAAGTTTGCAGTTTGGAATTTAAGACTGGGTTCAGCCACTGACATCTGCTCCATATTGAAAGGTATTCAATAGGCCTTTTGAGCGTCCACCATTCAATCTGATTGTGACTGAACTCTATCTCAATGTTAAATTGCTGCTTTCTCCCTATACTCCTTGATCCCTTTAAAGTCTAAAAATTTATCCACCTCTTTCTTGAACATATTCAGTGACTTGGCCTCCACAGCCTTTTACGGTAAAGAATTCCACAGGTTCGCTACCCAGTGTGAGGAAATATCGCCTTCTCTGAGTCCTAAATGATCCACCCCATATCTTGAGACTGAGTCCCCTGGTTCTAGACTCTCCAACCAGGAAAAACATTCACCCTTCACCTGGTCTGTTCAGCCCTGTTAGAATTTTATACATTTTCAAACAGATTCCCCTCTCATTCTTCTAAACTCTAGTAAATACACGCCCAGTTGAACCAATTCTTTCTCACAAGACAGTCCTGCCATCCCCAGTATCTATATGGCAAATAAATTTTTCTTGCGTAGGGAGACCAAAACTGCACGGTATACTCCAGCTTTGGTCTCACTAAGGCCCCATATAATAGTAAGACATCCCTACTTCTGAACTCTCATCCTCTTGTAATTACGGCCAACAAGGCACTTACTTTCCTAATTGCTTTCTGCACCTGCCTGTCTGCTTCCATTCACTGGTAGATAAAGACATCTAGAAACCTTTGTGCATGAGGTTGAGAAACCTATCAGCCATGATCAAATGGTGAAGCAGACTTGATGGGCTGAATGGGCTAATTTTGCTCCTATATCTTATCTTATCACAATTCCCAGTGTTTTTTCCATTTAAATAATACTCTTACCTTTGTTTTTCACACCAAAGTGCATAACTTCTCATTTAGCCATGTTATCAACGTTGCATCAGCAGAAAACTTGGAAATATTGCATTTTATTCCCTCGGGTCATTTTTACATATATAAAATTGTAAAGAGCTGGGCCCTATGTACTGATCTTATGATATTAATTCATTAGTCATTGCCTGCCACTTGGAGAAAGACCCATTTATTCCCACTTTGTTTTCTGTCTGGTAACCAATTCTCCAGCTGTGCCAGTACATTACTGTCATTCCCATATACTTTAAGCTTGCCCATGAATCTCTAATGAGGAACTGAAGCAAAAGCCTTCTGAAAAGGAAAATACACCACATCCATTGGTTCTCCCTTATCTATTCTACTAGCTGCATTGGGGAAAAAAAACTAGTGGATTTGTTAAGCATAATTTGCCTTACAATGAACCCACATTGCTTTGTCCAAATCTGTTAATGCTTTCCAAATAAGGTGTAGAACTGGATGAACACAGCAGGCCAAGCAGCATCAGAGGAGCAGGAAAGCTGACATTTCGGGTCTGGACCCTTCTCCAGCATCGGCAGTTCCTACTATCTCTGCTTTCAAATGTCTTTTTTTATGATAGACTAACATTTTCAAACCTACTAATGCAACTTAGATTAATGCATCCAACAATGGAGTGGGATGCTCCATCTGGTGGTCTTTCAGGTTCACAAAATGTAAATTTTGAGGTAAATTCAATTCAAATCTTTAAATTGCAATAAATTCTGTAGCTCCAAATTGCTGCCTGTACCCTTAATTGCAATTCAGACTCCCAAGTTGTCATGGACAGTAAATTTGTTGAATACTGAACTTTCTTGGAGGTTTTGCTATGATTTCCTTTATCACCACCAAAACAGAGGGAGGCTGAAAGGAGGGAAATGTTGATCTAAATTGTGGATTATAGGGGCACAGGTAGGAAAATGGTGTAAGAGGTACCATCAAATCATCCATGATCACGTTGAATGGCAGACGAGTCTTGATGGGCCAACTTCTCTTATTTCTTATGGTCACAGCAATATTTTTGCAAAATAGCACTTCGTGAGGTTATTTTTCATTTAATAATGGAGCTTTTTTAAGTTAGCCAACATGTGAATTAGGAGCAGGAATAGGATCGTGGTGGTTTAGATTATTCAACATTCCTCCCTACCCATGACAACATTTCCCCCACATCTTTATTAGGAGTCTCTCTACCTCTACTAAAAGATTCAAGACTGCTTCCACCCTCTTTCAAGGAAGAGTTCCAAAGTTTCATGCCACTTTTTTCATGCTTCCTTACCTTTCATTTCTTGATTTGCAGGTACTTCTGGGATGTTACTTGTGTCTTCTATAATGAAGACTAATGCAAGATACCTATTAACTCGTCTGCCATCTCCTTTATTTTCCTCTTTTTATATTTATTTTTACATGGAATGTGAACATCACTTGGCAAGACCAGCCTTTATTCCACCCTTAATTGATGTTAAACTGGCTCTTTTAGGCCATTTCAGAGAACAATTGAGTCACCATTTCTGTGTATCTGGAGTCACATACAGGCCAGAACAGTTAAGAAAAGCAGATTCCTTTCCCAAATGCTTAATTTTCACTCATTAAGCTTTTAGTCGTTCTTTGCGGTTTCTTGTATTCTGTCCAATCTTCTGACCTGCCACTCATCTTTGTGTAAATATATATATGCAATTTCATTAAGTTTGATACTATCTTTAACTTTTTTTTTGGTTAACCATGGATGATGGGTTTTACATATCAATTTTCTTGCTGACATGGATTTAATTCTGTATGTTGTCAAATATTCCTTTAAATATCTGCCACCACATCTCTCTTGATTTACTGGCGTTTATTTTGCATGTGTTAAATTTTGTGCACTATGGATTTCATAAGAGTCCTGCATGTTTTGGACCTTTGTGATGTGCGCTCAGGCTTGGATTAGGAATCGGCAGTGTAGTCCTCAAGATACTTGGGCTACTGTGAGCTTTAAAATGCGTGTTCAGAGTGAGGAGTATAAAAAGTGGGAAGCCTAATGCAATAAAGCCTAGTAATGTTAAAATTATTAGCAGTGTTTTCCTGTAATAAGTGCTGAAGATATTGAAATGATCCAGGGCAAGTAATGATTCTCAATTTTATTATTTCAAAGCTATGGGATACTTTTGTGTAATAATAAGCATCAACAGGATGTTAATTCTGCATGTTTTATTCCTGAACTTCAGAGATAAAGCTCCTGGACAAAGAGAGTGTGATGAAGCCATTGATGTTCTTAATCAATGCATCAAGGATGTTGACCAGGCATCTTTGGCAGCGATTAGTCAGCAGTTGGCACCACGGGAAGGCATCTCTCAAGAGGTGAGCAGCAAATACTTGCCTCATTTTGGTGATCTTCCGCAACCTAATTATGTTTCTGACTCTTATTGTTTTAATATACGGCTGTGTGAAAACAGCTGAAATCTTTGTTTACTGCAAAATGTGTAGCAAGATTGAAAGGCATGTTCCAGCAATGTGCAATCTCGTTGATACGCACACGTGTATATATAAACTGGCACTTGCCAGTTTGAGGGAAACTTGGATAAGTCACATTATTGTGTTAGCCAACCTCTTAACCACTTATTGTGGCAGTGTGTCCATGGGCTTAAGCTTGGCCTGACCAGGATTTAAAAGCGGGTAAGAAATAGAAGAGCAAATAAATGTAAAAATGAGCATGTGGTTTCTCGAACAGCAATTGGTATTCCCAAGTGCTGTCAGCCATGGCTTAGAGTCCTTTGTTGTGTCATTAGGTTGTGGGTCCAAGTTGTAGACCAGACAGGAATACTAAGTGTAGACTGGCACTTCAGTAGCGGAGGTGTCCTGCAGTGTCAGAGATGCAGTCTTTCAACTGACAAGTTAACCGAAGGTCCTGTCTGCCACCTCCGATGCTTATAGAAGATCCTGTGCCGCTAGTTTGTGGAAGAGCAGGGGAATTTTCACTGATGCTTTGGCCAATCATTATTCCTTAACAAACATCAGTAAATTGTAAAAAATGTGGTCATTGTCACCTTGCTTTGCAGCTTCTCACAGTTGTAACTTTTACTGCAATTTTTCATTAGGCATTACATGACCAAATGGCTGGAGCAGTTCAAGAAATCAGCAATCTCATTGATCCAGTGGCGACTGCAGCTCGGGCTGAGGCTTCACAATTAGGACACAAGGTAAAAGGACAATAAATTCCTGGCATTTTCTCCGCAACAAGCATCTTTTTGGTGTGCATTTTCTAAAACTATAAATAAAAATGTACAAAATTAAAGCTATAGCTATTATTAACAAAGCAGTGTGTTGTGAGCTCTGGGAGGACAATACATTGAGACATTTCAGTCCATTAGAATCCTAGAAATTGCACTTCAATCCATTACTAGAGTCATATTCTTTATTTTCAGAATATTATGACTCAATTTCCCAATTACTCAAGGTGAGTGCATCATCTCAGTCAGAGATTTTTGAACAGTACAAATTAGAGCCCAGATGTTTTGATTTGAAAACATTTCAGCAAGTGAGCATCTGTCTCATGTTCTTCCCTGTGATAAGCTCAAAGGAAAGAGAAGGACAAATCAATAAAATTTTAAAGGTTGAACACTGAAGTGTAAGGAGAACAAGTGAAATACTTCAGTAGCTGCTAACTTTTTTTTGTAATATTTCCTTTTAATGTTAGATTTTCGCTAACTAACATCTATGAGCCAGTTTTTGTTTTCATGAGTAAATCCAGCTCCTTAAACCTGGCAGTTTGTGTGTCTACAAATCTGTCACCAGGAAAAGGAAATTAAATTGAGCATTGCAACTGTTAGGAATTGACTCTGAGATGAGCCCCTCATCCCCGAGAATCCAGACTGAGAACACTGCAAAACAAAATATATTTTAACACTTTAGAAATGCCTTTTCTTCATTATGAATTGAAAACCAATGCATTGGCAAACATTATTCTCACAGTAACATTTCCATATGGTTCTGACTTCATTGGTTTCAAGTAATTTAAACAATTTTCTGTAGCAATATCACTATTGTCAAATAAGGCTTAAGCATGGTGCTTGCGGTACTTTTAACATATCTTCATGTTCTTTAAATGTAAACTGGGAATCTGAAATTATTTGATTATTCCTGTATTCCATGTTCAAAATTAATGCGTTGTTTGTATTGGAATCCACAAATTTTCAGCAATCAGTTTAAAATGTTCGCCCGTGTTCAGAGCTTCATTTTAGTGCTCTATTTTAAAAGTTGTGTGCTTCTGCCAAAAGATACATTTAGTAATGAATTAGTATCTCTTCATATTCATGGTTGGGTATGTTGTCACAAACTTTACAGGTATCTCAAATGGTGAGTTACTTTGAGCCACTCACCATGGCCTCAATTGGTGCAGCATCAAAGGCTGTCAATCACCAGCAGCAGATGAATTTGTTGGATCAGACCAAGACGCTGGCAGAATCTGCACTTCAGATGTTATACACAGCTAAAGAGGCCGGCGGCAATCCAAAGGTAAATAAATGTGCTTAGGAATTTAAGGCTTATGGCCATATTTGGGTTATGTTTGCAAATGCGTAATTGTTTTAAGCACATGCAGACCTTTTACAGTCTAAGCACAGAGGAGGGTATTGTTTAGCAGAGGTCAATAATTGTCCATGTTTTTCTGATCTATACTTCTACATATGCTGTTGCTTCATAGAAATTTTCAGCGCACGAGGAGGCCATTCAGCACATTGTGCCCACGTCAGTCGGCATGTAGCCATCCAACCTAATCTCCACTTTCTAGCTTTTTAGGTTACAGCACTTCATGTGTACATCCAAGTACTTTATAAATGCTGACACTTTCTTCCTCTGTCAGCCTTTTATGTAGTGAGTTCAAGATCCAACCACTCACTAGCTGAAGTAAACTTTAGCTCAAAACAGCCTGCTCCTTGCCCTACATCTATCGACCTCCAAACAGAAGAACTAAGACCTTCCAGTTTGCGCAGACTACATTATTAAGCGAGGGCATATGTGAAAATCTGTTGGGCAGCATCCTTCTAAATCTCTTCAGTGCAATGATTTCTTACCTACAGTATGGTGACCAGAACTGTGTACACTAATTACACCAGCTGTGGCCAAACTAAAGATTTACACAATTCTGGCATAACCTCCCAGATAGTCATACAGCACAGAAACAGGTCCTTCGGTCCAACTCGTCCATGCCGACCAACTTCACCAAACTAAACTAGTCCCATTTATTCTCTGTCTTTACTGATAAACACAAGTATTCCATATGTCTACAAAGATAGGTAGGAATTTAAGTTCTGATGAAGACGTAAGTAGGGTACAAACAGATTATCAATGATCAAATACTTGGCAAATAAAATGAATGTGGGGAAAATGTAAAATTGTTTATTTTCAGGAAGAATAAAACCAAATATAGTCCATTCAGAATCTAACACACTGCTTGTGTCATAATGTGACCACCATAGATCATTAAAAGCCTTTTGTGCACAGATACAAAAAGTAATTAAAGTCTAATGAATTGATGGTCTTTACCTCAAGCGGGTTGTATTGAACATTTGTCAGCTTCTGGAGAACTGCATTTGGTTTTGAGCATTGAACCTCATGAAAGCTATATTGGCTTTAGAAAGGCAAAAATATGCATTATCCAGAATTATGCCAATGAGGGTTCAATTATGAATGCAAGTTATCTTGCGTTTTGCAAATTACTGGGTGGTCTAACTGAACTTTTAAATTTAGAAGAAGTTTGATGGTGTGGTCAGAGAGAAACTATTTTGCTGCTTGAAGGCAACAGGACAGGTAGATAAGGTGGTTAGTAGCCATATGAGATAATTACCTTTGCTCTTGCATTCAATACCTTAAAGAACAAGGAAGTTATGATGGAGCTGTATATAATGTTAAGCTGCAGCTTAAGTATTGTGTGCAATTCTGGCTGTCACAATAGGGAGGATGTGATTGTACTTGAGAGTGCAGATGTGATATTGACTGAGCTGAAGTGATTCAGCTATGAAGAAAGACGGGATAGGCTGAGATCATTTTCTTTAGAGTAGGAAAGGCTTGGGGTGGGGGACCTGATTTGAGGAGTAAAAAAGTGAGGAGCATAGACAGAGTAGATAGGGAGAAACTTTTCCCCTTAGTGGTGGGATTTGTAACTAGGAAGCACAGTTTTCAGGTAGGGAGCAGGAGATTTGGAGGGGTTTTGAAAAAATTTCTTTTTCACCCAGAGGGATGTGGACATCTGGAACTCTCTGCCTAAAAAAGTGGTAGAGGCAGGAACCCTCAAGACACTTAAGAACTATTTAGATGCGAACTTGAAACACACAAGGCTCCCAACCAAGTGCTGAGAAATGGGATTAGCGCGGATAGATGTTTGATGACTGACATGGACATAATGACCCAAAAGGCCTTTTGCCAAGCCGTAGAAACTGTTATGACTTTTCTCTAATGGGAGGTCCAGAACTCAGCCATTAAGGAGCAAAATTAGAAAGTACATTTTAAAACCACCATGTTATGACAACCACAAGCGATTTATTTGTGTATTTTGTGTTCTGATGTAGCATTGAACTTTTGTCACTTTTATTTCATCTTCTAGCAAGCAGCTCAAACACAGGATGCTTTGGATGAGTCTGTGCAGATGATGAAGGAAGCTGTGGAGGACCTGTCAGGAACACTGAATGATGCAGCTAGTGCTGCGGGTGTTGTGAGTGGAATGGTGGATGCCATCAACCAGGCCATAAACAAGGTGAGATCATTATCATGTTATAAAGCTTAACAGAACATCTGTTTATAAATTCCCATGCAATGTTATTTGATTCTTCAATTGCCATGAAAACTGTGAAAACCTTTAAATTGTTAATCTCAGCTATTAATTGTACTTTTGGAAAACCATATTCATAACTGTGCAGTTTTCAATGTGATATAAATAGTGTTGAGTATTTTGGGCTATCCATCCATAGCTACTTTCTGTTTGCATCAGTATCAACTGGAACTTATATATTTTTGCTTTAAACCTAGATTGATGAAAGTGCTCCAGGTGAGCCAGATGGTTCATTTGTTGACTACCAGACCACCATGGTGAAGACTGCTAAAGCCATTGCTGTAACTGTTCAGGAAATGGTAGGTGTCAGTCATTGACTTCAATGTGCTTTGTTTGAACTTGTGTTGCTGTTTCTCATTTTGGATTCTGTTCACAGGTTACTAAATCAACCACCAATCCAGATGAACTGGGGACTTTGGCCAATCAGCTTACCAATGACTATGGGCATCTGGCACAAGAAGCCAAACCTGCAGCTATAACTGCTGAAAATGAAGAGGTAATTCATAATGCAGTACTGCCTGTCAAAAAAATGGTGTATCCTATTTCTGTTGTACAACTGCATAATTCGTGACATACAAGGCTACAGGAATGATAGAAAGGAAAATACTTAAACCCGTCCAGCAAGCTTGTTCAATACTGTCAACAGTGCAATTTGTGCACAGTGAGATCCTATTCCATTTTCTCTTTCCCTTCTTTCCTCTCTCACACGCACACTAATTGTTTTTATTCATTCATGAAAGTGTTGCTGGCTGGACCAACATTTATTGCCCATCTCTAGTTCCTTCGAGAAGGTGGTGGTGAGCTAACTTCTTGAACTGTTACGATCGATTTGCTGTGGGTAGGAAGGAATGAATCTATCTTGGCCTTAAATTTACAAGGACTCTGTCCCACAGCTCTCTGTTACAAGGAGTTCCAAAGACACTGAGCCCTCTGAGAGAGGAAATTCCTCCTCATTCAGTCTTAAACTGGCACCCCTTTATTCTGAGATGATGCCCTCTGGTCCTGGACTCTCCCATCAGTGGAAACATCCTTTCAGCATTTACCCTGTCAATCCCCTTAAGAATCCTATGTTTGAATGAGATCAGCTCTCAATCTTCTTAACTCCAGTGAGTAGAGTCTCAACCTGTTTAGCCTTTGTTCATTAGGCAATCCCTCCATACCAGCAAACCTTCTCTGAATTGTCTCTAATGAAATAATATGTTTCCTTAACCAAGAGGATCAAAACTACTCTCAGTAGTCCAGCTGTGGTTTCACCAGCACCTTGTAGTTTGCCAGGTCTTGGATATTATCTAGATCTCATTGCATTTGAACATGACTGCTTCAGTATCTGAGGAATCAAGAACAGTGCTGAACATTGTACAATCATCAGCAAGCATCCCCACTTCTGACCTTATGATGGAGGGAAGGTCATTGATGAAGCAGCTGAAGACGGTTGGACCAAAGGCATTACCCTGAGGAACTCCTGCAGAGATGTCCTGGAGCTGAGATGACTTATCTCCAGCAATCGGCTTTTTTCTGTAGTACCAGGTATGACTCTATTCAGCAGAGAGTTTTACCCCAATTTCCATTGACTTCAGTTTTGCTGGAGCTCCTTAACACCACACTGTCAAATATGACCTTGATGTCAAGGGCTGTCACTCTCACCTCACCTCTGGAATTCAGCTCTTCTGTCCATGTTTGAACCAAGGCTGTAATGAAGTCAGGAGCTGACTGGTCCTGACGCATCCCAAACTGGGCGTTGTTGATCAGGTGCCGCTTGATAGCAATGTTGATGATATCTTCCATCACTTACTGATGATCAAGAGTAGACTGATGGGAATTAAATTGGCCATGGTTAGATTTGCCCTACTTTTTGTTAATAATTTTCCTTATGGTTGGGTAGATGCCAGTGTTGTAGTTGTACTGAATGTTGTCAGGGCCCATAACCTTTGCAGTGTCCATTGCCTCCAACTGTTTCTTGATATCACTGAGTGAATTGTATTGGCTGAAAACTGGTATCTGTGATGCTGGGAACCCTTGGAGGAGCCAAGATGGATCATCCACTCGGCATTTCTGACTGAAAATTGTTGTGAATGCTTCAGCCTTCACTGATGTGGTGGATGTGGGCACAATTACACCATTTAAAAGACATTTGGATAGGTACGTGGAGAAGAAAGGTTTGGAGGGATTTAGGCCAGGAGCAGGCAGGTGGGACTAGTTTAGGTTGGGATTATGTTCGGCTTGGACTGAAGGGTCCGTTTCCGTGCTGTCTGACTGTATGACACTACGTAGTTTTGTTAGCCAGGCTGTACTCCCTTTGAATGTTTCAAGCAGATTCTTGATCACTGAACAAACCAACTGCTTTATTAACTGGGCTAAAATCAATCTCTTTTGTCTTCTAGTTCCCATAACTTCCAAATAATAATTTTAGATTCAAAATGCTTGAATTTCATCAAATACACTTCTTACCCTCTTCCAAGAGGCGGCTGTACTGCTTCATTGTTGTTTGACACCTGACTGCAGTGAAGTAGTTAACGTGGCACCTTCTATAGCAATTATTTTTTAGCTGTTTGCCAGTAACGTAACACATACATCTTTCTGATTTAAGATGCAAATGTTCTGTGTTGTTAACATTCTTTGTATCTTTTTATTTGTGTACAGTTTGGTCTTTGAATACTGTGCATGATATTGCTTGAAGAGTAATTTTTATATAGCCCCATCCACCAGGTACAGGGGATCCCTGATTTATGAATGTCTGACTTACCAATGTGATCCCATACAGGGGTGAAATTTTAACAATCTGATATACAAACATCTGTACTTGGAAATGGCAGTCTAATGTTGTCTTGCATTGTGTTCCAACTTGTGTACAAATCAATTTGTGAATGGACTCGAGCGCAACCCAGGAACTGCCTGTTTTATTGTGAATGCCAGGAGACCTATACAAAATTGATAGAAAATAGAAAATGATTGCATTTGGGATATGACTTGAAATTTATTTATTATGGAAAAATACATGGTGCTGTTGTCACATTGTCTCCTTCCAGATAATGTAACTTAACTGGTAAGACCAGAAACCTGAGCCATGCTGTCAACTTTGAGAACGTTTGGCCATTGTGATTAGTGTTGGGCTGGATTGAAAGTTATCAAAGCAATGGATGCATGTTCAAAAGCAGGGGAATGGGGGTTTCTGATATGTGCATGGGGGAACCTGGAAGTAAGGGCAGCAAGTCTTGACTGAATTTTTAACCCAGCTGCTGTGCTGCCATGGAGTTCCGACGTTCCTCACCTCACTTTGAGTGAGGAGGTGTGATGGCGACACATTTAAAGCAATGTACCAAACACACAACTTGACAGATTCTGGAATTGGGAGCAGGACACAATCAGTTGATTAAAATAAGGTGCACAAGTTCAAAGGTAGTGTCAGGTTACAGTGATGCCTCCCTGATATGGTGCCAGGAGCCATGAAGTCCATGGGAAATAGCGTTTCCTACAGGCAAGAGGACCAGGTCTGCCAGTGAAATCAAGGATGAGAGTCTGGCGGCATCCCCAGGACGTCAGCAGAGTGTGGTGCCGTGATTGTGGATTCACAGTGCTGAAAGAAATTTAATGGATTAAGCAGGGCAGGAAAGGTGAGTACAACACATTCGACTGCATCCTAATGTGTGTATCACAATAACCAGCTTGTCAAGTCTACTTCATGCTAAATCGCTTTGCAATTGCATCCACCCTACTCTGTCTACTGATCCTCACCGCCCCGTCTGTCTATCCACCGACACTCCCGTTTACGCAATGTCATTTTGCTGTATCTTAACCATCCTCGACAAATGCTTTTCATCCATTGGCTCAAAGCATGTCATTACTCTCGCTCATCTATCTATTTTTCCGTCATTGCAGGTGAAGAAAGCACTGAAGTGCAAGAAGCAGAATACCAAAACTGGCTCTCCAGCCATTTTGCACCCAACAACTGCAAAGCAGAAGTCGCTGGACATCAGTGGAGCCTCTGTGCTTGACAGCTAGAGTTGGGAAGATGGGGACTTCCCAGCTACCTGGTGATGGATTTAAATATTAGGCGTCAACAGGACATACAGCACTCGTGCATGTTGACTAGATGTCAGCAGCGAGTGTAATATGATCTTTTGAAAAATGATCACCTTAACGCATCCACACCTTGGTGATGCTAATTCATGTCTTTAATATGCCACAGGGTCTTCAGAGGAGCTGCAGGAGATCAATGACTCCTCAGAGGAGGTCACTCCTCCTGGGGATGCACTATCACAACAGGGCTTGTGCATGCAACACACTAGATCAGATACTAACACCTCAGCAGGACCGGTAAGGAAAACTGTTGGGTTGTGTCTGACCCACATCACAAGTGAGCAGAGCCCATGACGGATATGGAGAGTCCATGTCGGAGGTCATTGGATACTCCAGCGTCTGGAAGGGTTGACAGCTGCACTGCACGCTTGTGGAGACATTGGAGGAGTCCATCTTGAGCATGATGTCACAAGCATTTCTGGTGAAATGTTCATCCAGGGAATCCATTTTACATGGAGTAGCAAATGCAGTGATAAAACAAGTGCATGCAGGCCCTTGCCAATGTCTCATGTGCAATGAGAACCTTTGCACCTGACCCTCTTCTGCAAATGCTTTTCCTGCTGGTGCTGCTGTTGGTAATGGTCATCTAGTTCTGATCTCTGGTTCGCAGTAAAAGAGCAAATCTAATATAACAACCGCAAAGTGGAGAACAGACGTACAAGCCTTCAAGTGCTGAAAGCAAACTCTGCACAACTGCTTTGAGCAAAATCTTTTACATTATTGGGTAAGAAAGAAGCTTTGAAGTTTCGGTGCATGCTGGATTTTTTTCCTGTTATGTCTTCAAGCCTTTAATTATGGCTAGATTTCTACCTTGCTTTCATTGATGAGTTTAAGGAAGCAAACCCATAAGTTCTAAAAGCCATGTTAATATACCTGTACTTGAACAGTTAACATTTAAATTTCCAATGCAGTTAAATGCGAAAATCAGTTTAGCTTCAATTTCTAGATGTGCATCAATTTTCTCACTTTTAACCCCTACACACACTCAAACATGTGGACACAGAATGTGTGAAATTCACCCAATACCACCTGCTCTGGTTTTAGATTTGGAGGTCAAGCTATTTCAATCCTGTAAGTTTTCAACATTTCCAACACAGCCAAAATGTTATCAGTTCTGGGTCCTACTAATATTTGATAATTTATTTTTGCACATTTTGTGTGATTTAATGAGAAAAATCCACCGCTTTAATTGTGCAGTACACCTTTACAATCTTTTCTTGAACCCATTTCTAGATTGGCAACCATATCAAGAATCGTGTGCAAGAACTGGGTCACAATTGTGCCTCTTTGGTTCTCAAAGCTGGTTCTCTCCAGTGCAGTCCCAGCGATGCCTTTACTAAGAAAGAACTCATTGAATGTGCTCGCAAAGTCTCTGAGAAGGTAATGATTTTTCAGAAAGAACATCTAGATATGGAACTTCATATGCGTTCAAGCACCTGTAATTTAGCAAGATATTTTTGACCGATACAGTTGTTAAATATTTCTGATTAACTTGCATGTTAGAGCAGATAAAAGTACATCTAGTGGATTAAAATGTTCAGAGTTCCTTTTCTTAATTCTAAACCCAACCTGTGCTGTCTTCAAAGGTTGACCAGGTTGACAATAGGCAAGATGACATTCAGTTGGATTTGATTCCAAGGCTACTTTATTGCATAGGAAGCAAAACACAGTATGGTGAAATGCTTTGAAGAATAGTAATATTTTTTACAATTGACAAATAATGTGCACATGCCAGCCTACTTTAACCTTGCTGATGCTGAACTATGTTTTGGTGCCCAGGATTTTAAAATTATTTTTCAAAAGATTCAAAATCAAGAAATTTGTTCCACACCAAATTACATTCGTGTGAATTAGTCCATACGTTGGTTATGACTTGGCCGTTGTTTGGTGTTGCTAGTTCAAAAGAAAAGACGCCATCAGTCATTTTAAATACCTTCTATCTGCATGTGATTACAACAATCAAAAATGGGTTGTTCTTCAAAGTTAACAGAATACAACCCTAGATCAGGAGGTATATTTTACAATTGTTTCGGATCCAATTTTCTTGACGACCCTTACTTGAGGGATGTAGGTGCTTTGGAGGCAGTTCAGAGGAGGATCACTAAATTGGTTTTAGAGATGAGGAGCTTGCCCAAAAGAGATTGAGCAGTTTGGGCCTGTATTCTGAGGTTTAGAAGAATAAAAGAAGATCTAACCGAGGTATGTAAGATGCTGAAGGGGATTGACAAAGTAAAACAGAGGATGCTTCCTCATAAGGGGCAATCTAGAACAAGAGGTCAGAATTTTAGAATAAGAGGTAGCAGATTTAAAACACTGGAGGGGAAATTACTCTTGCAAGGGGTCGTGAATCTGTGGAATTAACTACACCAGTGTGTGGTGGATGGCAGGACATTGAATAAATTTAAGGAGGAGATAGACAGACAGATGTTTAATTAGTAATGGTTTGAAGAGTTATGGAGAGCAGATAGGGAAGTGGATTTGAGGCTGAGATGAGATCAGCCATGATCATATCAAATGGCAGAGCAGGCTCGAGGGACTGAATTGCCTATCCTGCACCACGTTTTCACATTCAAATCTTTACTGAGGGCAATCAACAAAACATCCTAAACTGCATCCATGACCAGGACATGGGAATTGATATGGAAACTCTCAACAATGGTCAACTGAACTGTTAAAAAGATCGTGATTAAATCTTTTGCTAACGCGGGAAGAAAGTGATGCTGTTGTATCTGAATTGAAACTGTCATTTCTACCTTCCAGATTTCCCATGTGTTGGCATCCTTGCAGGCTGGCAATCGTGGAACTCAGGCTTGCATCACTGCTGCCAGTACTGTGTCTGGTATCATAGCTGATTTGGACACAACAATCATGTTTGCTACAGCAGGTACACTAAACCGAGAAAATGAAGAGACCTTTGCTGACCACAGGTAAGCACATGGATAATAGTTAAGCACCTCATCTTATGTATTCATTGTACTGTATTCTAAGGGTTAGAACACAATAATTTGTATTTTGGTAAATTACAATTTCTGGCTATTTTATTATTGCTCAATGAGAGCTATTCACTGAACTTTAGTCTGCTCCTCAATCACCTGAAAACCCCTTTCACATTGTCCAAAGATCTAAACATCCTTCCAGATAAAGTAGTAGTTTACTTGGATTTTCTATTTAATATGATCTTTTCACTACTCATGATGCAATCTCCTTTGAATTGGGAAGACCGTATGTGGACTAGGTGACAATTTTGTGGAATATGTTTACTCAAGTCTCAAATCTGACCCCAGGTTTGCTGCTATGTTGTTCTCAATTCCAATATTTTGCCTGTCTGTCTTCAGCTACCTGCCTTGTTCCTGTGAAGCTCAATGACATTTTAATTGGACACATTGAACTCAATATTGAGTCCCGAAGGCTGCAATAATTTCTGATCCCTCTAATTTTTCACATAGTAGTGCCCCCCACAACTCCCTTTTCTCTGTCTCTGTATTTGCTTTAATCCATGTTACATCTGTAATATTTTCCACTTCTGAACAGCAACATTAACTGTTACTCTTATCACAGGTGGTGGCTACCCTGAATATTTATAGGATTATTGGCTCTTATTTAGTGAACATTCATTCATTGTATACAATCTTCCCAACTCAAGCCTCAACCACAATGGACTGGGGAGTCTGAGTAGTTGGGGGAGGGAGGCGGTGGTTGGGTTGGTAAGTAAAGAAATGCAAGTTCCAGTTATAGGCCCAGTAATCGAGGGGTTGAACATGTGTCCTTTCCTCCTGGATCATAGAATAACAGACAAATCAGGAAGGGGAACTTAGCATTCCCATCGGAGGTGTTTTGGTATATATCACCAGTACATGTTAAATTATTATACAAGCTCCATTTCATCAACCCTGGTTAGAATTTGGGATGGTGAGCAAAAGTGTCTTTTCTGGTGTAATTCTGTCATGTTCTACAATGATGTTTGAAATGTTGTATGTAACACCTAACCACTGGATCTAAGGAATTATTGTCTCATTGAATCAGCCTGTTTAGAAAATTCAGCTCAGTCTCAATGATTGGAAAATTACCTTATGCTCTACTATTAGAACAATACTGAGATCTGGTATAAGCTGATGCTGTTCTTACTATATTTTCTGTCATTTGTAAAGTAATATTTGTGTCACTTTTGGCTCAGTGCTTAGCAGTCTTGCATCTCGAGACAGAAGGTTGAAAGTTCAAGCTCCCATCCAACATTTGACTAGGCTGAGGGGTGATCACAAAAAGAGGTATAAAATCATGAGCATGGATGGGGTGAATAGCTAAGTCTTTTCCAGGGTAGGGGAGTCTAAACTAGAGGGCATAGGTTTAAGGTGAGGGGAGAAAGATTTTTAAAAGGACTTGTGGGTTAACTTTTTCACACAGAGGGTGGTGTGTGTATGGAACGAGCTGCCAGAGAATGTGGTGGAGGTGGTACAATTACAACATTCAAAAAGCATCTGGAATATATGAGTAGGAAGGGTTTAGATGGATATGGGCCAAATGCTGGCAAATGGGACTCGTAAGATTGGGGTGACTGGTCGGTCCAGACAAGTTGGACCAAAGGGTCTGTTTCTGTGCTGTTTAACTCTGACTCTTTGGCTAAGCCATAATTATGAGACACTCCAGTAGATGTGTAAAAGGCGGTGGAACTGCTTGATTTAAAAAGTAGGCAAGTTTACTGTGCCAGCCTGTTTGCTCTGTCAAAAACACAAAAAACTGATGATTCATTGTTACTCTTTGTTGGATCTCATAGCAGATGTGGCAGCCAATTTGTTTACAAGACAACAGTGACTAAACGTCAAAAGTTATTATTGGCTGTAAAGTGTAATAGGCATCCTGAATTCAATTAAAGGTGCAACATAAATTCAGGTGCCCCCACCCCTTCCTCCTTGTAACATTTGTAAAAGTTGTTTACTCAATTATCAAAAGTAACATCTGAATTTTGTTCTTCAACTAATTGTTTGCATATAAAACTAAACAATGGCCTGATCCTCTAATCTGAAGTCTAATGCATATCCAGCAGGTCTTTTGATGTGTTTTGGAGAATACCTTTGTTCATATAATTACATGGTTATGGATTTCATCTCAAACTACAACATCTACAAATTTGTTGCTAAATATTTAAGAGGTTTGAATGGTTCTCATCTTTGTCTTGAATCATTTGTAATTATTTTAGGGAGAACATTCTAAAAACTGCTAAAGCTCTGGTGGAAGACACAAAGTTGCTTGTATCTGGAGCTGCTGCAAGTCAAGAGAAGTTAGCGCATGCCGCACAGTCCTCAGTTGTCACAATTACCCGACTGGCAGAGGTGGTGAAATTAGGAGCCGCAAGCTTGGGCTCAGATGATCCTGAAACACAGGTTAAAAAGCTTTCAGTATATTTTAAAATGTTTATAGCTTGATCTGTTGAACTTAAGCTACAACAAGCAACTTACATCTTTCTAAAGAAGTAGATTTTTAAACAATTCATGGGATATGCATCACTAGCAAGGTCAGCGTTTGTTGCCCAACCCTAATTACCGTTGTGGTGAGGCTTCTTCCATAATGATGGACTGTAGAATGTTCCAGGATTTTGACGATTTAGTGCCATTTCTACCAACTGAACTGAAATCAGCCCAATCAATTATTAACAAAGGCAATGTTTTAACTATTTACCCAACCCCAGCTCCATTTTTTGGCACATCTAACTGATGCAGTTAAAAATAGACAACGTATTTGTATGCTGGAAGAACACAGCAGGCCAGGCAGTATCCAGAGGAGCAGTCAACCAGCAGGACCTGAAGAAGGGTAATACCCGAAGCGTTGACTGCTCCTTTCCTCCAGATGCTGCCTGGCCTGCTGTGTTCTTCCAGCTTCCTGTTTGTCTACCTTGGGTTCCAGCATCTGTAGCTTTTTTTTGACTCTGATATTTGTGTGCTTACTTGGTGTTATGATCAGCATGCTTAAATCTAGTCTTCTGTTTTTAATCAGTAATTTTACAGGGCTTTGACTGTATTTGCTCCACAATGATTCTGATTACATTGGCTTGTTGAAGTGTTTTTTCATAAATATGAAATGTATAATCTGTTAACATTGATTTAAAACAGGTCATCACAAAAGCCACATCAGTTGTCTACTTTCCATTCAATCTGTTTGTTGAGGGTCTGCGTATACTTCTCCAATTAAATATGAAATAAGGCACCATATTGCAGCATTTCTTAAATGGAAGCATTGTATACTGTTTCCTATTGCAGTTCACTGAATCTCACCAATTTTCTTGGAACTAGTCATTTTTTTAAAAAAGTTAGTTTTGTTGTCTGCTGTGCCAAAAAGTTGTTTTATTTGTAATGAAACAACTATTTTTGTTTCTGTCAGGTTGTACTGATTAATGCAGTGAAAGATGTAGCAAAAGCCCTGGGAGATCTTATCAGTGCGACAAAAGGAGCTTCAGGAAAAGCTTCAGATGATCCATCCATGTATAATCTCAAGAATGCTGCCAAGGTACTCTCAGAATAAACAGCAACCTTCAACCCAGCATGTTTCCTCTGAAGATAGTAACAGTTGTCAGCATTTGATACTGTATTTACACAGTGATTCTTCAAGTGTGAGCCCACATATTGACAGTTTGAGTTTGATCAACTAGCGAGTTCTGTACTATCCTACCTCCTGAGAATTGTATATATTGACGATTCTTCCTCCTTTCTAGCCAATTACCCCGGTTAGAGTTCCTCCACTGACTGACCCACTGAGTAGCACCAGTTATTATAAACAAACTTGGCAGATGTGCAGCGTATTTAACCCTGAAAAATATGCCACAGCTGATTGAATGATTGTGGATATAAGTGATATGGTTGTGGCAGGTTCCTGTCGATGTTGTTAAATCGGTAAGTTTTGAGAAGGCATGTATAGGCACAGAGAGAGAAAGCAATGTGAATGAGTTTATGAACAGTATAATAGGGCAATGATAGCTGAAACCTGTACCAGAAATGGCAATATAGAAGCTGAAGACAGGACACAATGACCAACTGGTAGAGGAATGGAGGACATAGGGTCACAAGGATAGAAAGAGTTACTTTTTGAAAAAGCAGAGTGGGAGGTTTTACATGCAGTGGCCCAAATATTCGAGTGACCACACGTAACAGGATGCACATTGAAACCCTGTGGAAGTCTAAGCATGCTGACCTACAGCAGAATTGTCCAGAAAGTATTAACTTCTGATGGACAAATCCTCTACTTCCCATTATGTTCAGTGAATGTTTCCAAATCCAGCTCAGTCAGAGATTTTGGACATTTCCAATGTAATTACCTATTGCTGAAGAAAGATATCTTGTCAAAGCTTTTCATCTTACACTTATCAGGACAAGAAATACCAAGTAAAGAGAAAACATTTTGTACTATGAGGGGAAGTGCTGCTTCGTTGGCAAATGGACTCTGGTGTGCCATATACATTGTTTTCAAATACACACACAGAGTATTATACAAGGTGATATAACATATATAAAAAAAATACACAAGGTCCTATTCTTTGCAGAGAAAATGAACACTCTGCCTTTGCCTTTTCCACAAAATAGGTGACAGCCATTTTCTAGTTCAGTTTTCAGGGCAATGCCTTGAGCAATCTGTGCCAAACTGCGCAGTTTAAAATTTAAATGAAGCTTGGTAGTGAATTCAGTCATATCAAATGGTGCATTATCCGTGGCAATGCCTTTACTAATCTGAGTCCACTTGCCAACTGCATTTTTGGCATTTTATCTCATGCAATACAAATGTTATTTTCCCTTTCAATGTTTTTTAATATTTTCTCATCAACCCATTCAGATGTTGTTGCACAATATTGTAGCAGGTGGAACAAAAACAGAAGTTGCTGGGAACAGCTCAGCAGGTCTGGCAGCTTCTGTGAAGAAAATTCAGTTAACGTATCAGGTCCGGTGACCCTTCCTCAGAACCCTGTAGCAGGTGGGGCCTGAACCCGCTGCCACTATAAGATCCCTATTATTTCTTGAAAATGACCCAGATGAATACCAAATAAAAAGCTTCTACTTAAAATCTTGTTTTATGCTTAATTGGGAAGGAAAACTTTGAAAGATCTACAGATAGCATTAAACTGTGCCTCTGTGTAGTTGATTGAATAATCCAAAATCTCAGCATCTAATAGCAAAATAGCTGCTAATTGCTTAATCTCCACTGGTAGTGATGTGCTTGTATGCTCCATTATGAGAAATTGCAAAACCAGATAAATGTTATTTAGTAATCTTCAAAAACCATAATCTGTTACAGTACCTATTTACACATCCTCTGTACCTGAACTTTGTTTAGTATGGGCTGACAATAGAGTCTACAATGGCCCAATGGTAAATGTTTGCATTGTGGACAGGTTTCAAAACAATATGCAAAGGGAGATGAACATTAATTGTTACATTTGAGATGATCTTTATGACATTCATGCTTTTCTTTTGCCAACAATATTTTATAAAGAGTAAATTATCTTTCGGTTATCAATTCCTAAATTGCTTACCTGGAAGCCAAAGCTCCAGCAAAAATCTTTCCACGAGTAACAGTTTAAGATTTTAGAATGAAAATATATCAAAGATAGCCTTTATGTAAGCATGGCATTTTCATTGCGGGTTGTCCAACAAAATGACCACGCTTGATGATTTTTTTTTTTGTAGTTCTTGGACTGATATCCAGTACTTTTATCCTGTTAGGTTATGGTGACTAATGTGACTTCACTGCTGAAGACTGTAAAGGCAGTAGAAGATGAAGCTACTAGAGGAACACGAGCTCTGGAAGCCACTATTGAGCACATCCGTCAAGAACTGGCAGTATGTATTTCATGTTTACATTTAATAAAGGCAAACTGAGTTTGATGGTCAATGTCAGAATTCACATGTTTGTATTTCCTCTTCCTCTTATCTTATTAAATCAACTTGTTGGTTTTGATTTCAGTGGGTATTTCCGTATATTGTCA